GCTAAAACACCTACACACACTTTAGTAGCCCTGCGGTCCGTGAAAGGCAGGTGTTCTTGGTCTGACTGGAGCATCTGCGTCATGCCCTCTATACCAGGTGCCCTGATGTTAACATGTAGAGAACATGGAAGGCAGATACATACTCCCATGGTACAACCTCACACACATCTCAAGTCCCACTCACTGCTGGAGAACAGAGCCATTACATCATCATCATCCATCGCCTTGGGGAACAAGGCATGAGCACTGACCACTGGGAGATGTGGGGTCATTACATCACTGGCAGCAGCCCAGGGCACGCCATAAAAGAAGGAGCTGTGGCTGCGTGGCAGGCGGGGCCGTGTGCAAGATGATCATTGCTAATGCTCGGTAATGTTGCTAACACACACACGCACGCACACACAGACACACAGGTCAGATGGAGGGTCAGGGACTGCTTGACGCAGTGCTGTGACACACACCACCCCAGGCCTTCAGCTTACCATGCAGCAGGCCCAGCCAGTAATGAGCATAGTTATGTCACATTATGAGGTTGTATGAAACAAACAGTGCTTTAAAGATAGTATTCCATTATTATCAAGGCTGGAGTTTATGTTCCATTTACAAACATGACTGTGCCAGTGGTATTTTTGTTTTAAAACTGTAGGCATATTCATAAGCCATTACACTTCAATATTAATGTGAACTTGCCATAGCCAAAGTGCATTTTTACATCTGGTTCTACGTATCATTATTCCAAGAAATGCTGCTGTTGTTGTTGAAAATGCAACTTTCTGCATCTGAATGGGCAGTGCAGCTTCTAAACAGGATATGCTGTTATGAATGATTTTACCACCTAGTCCAGAGAGGATCGATACTGTATCTACTTTTGAGAATCCATCCAGGAGGCTCAGGAGGCAGAGCGTGTCGTCCTCTGATCACAGGGTTGGCCATTCGATTCCTGGCTCCTCATGTCCACATGTCAAAAGTGTCCTTGGGCAAAACACCCAAGTTGCTCCTGAAGGGCAGGCCAGCGCCTTGCTCCAACGCCATCGGTGTATGTGTGTGAATTGGTGAATGAGAGGGCAACTGTAAAGCGCTTTGGTCGTCGAGGTAGAAAAGCGATATATAAGAGCAGTCCATTTATCATTTACAGTCAACATATTTAGGTCCACATTTAACACTTTTCAGAGAATTTTTTATTTATTTTTTTTAAAACATCCCTTTCTTTGTATCACTTATTAAAGTATTTCTTAAAATGAAAGGCTGAAGATATTTTTGTTACTGTCAACAAATCCTATGAAAAGCAAAACCAAGTCTGTGTCTCAATAATTTCTGGTTTTCTTAACCTGTCTGTGCTGATACCAATACCATTACTACCAATACTGTAGACGTTAATCTTTAAATACAGGTCACAAATATATACCCTCATTTTTACACACAAAAAAGCTAACTAGGCTCAGCCGGGTACTGTTTTTAGCAGCCATAACTCAAACAGCAGTAAATAGTGTATCTATTGGGGACTATTTTCTGCTCCTAGTGAGTACCTACAGCAGCATAATGGGGTATGTGGGATTGGCTCAAAATAAACTACAATGCCCGAGTTCATCATAATAAAGAAACATGAGCAACCGTGTGGCCCAATAATGTGTATTTTTGACAAAATTATACTTCTCTGGCACAGAGGAATAAGCTATATAAAGCTTGAGAGATACACAAACACTTGCTAGTAGGTCAAATAAATTAAATGTTGGATTTTGCCTTTTCACAGGATTTGGTGACTATAAGAGAAATATAGAATATCACAAAGAAGAAAAGTTGAATTTTTTTGGAAATAGCATATCACCAGACTTATATTTTAAATAAAACTATTATGATCCTACTGCCACTATAAAGTCTGGCAGTGATTTCAGTAGCATTGCCAATCAATCTTGATTAAAAAAAAGACCACACTCTGTCAACATACAGATCCAAGTGTGTGGTTATAGTCTAGACCGTGAGTACTTACACTGCTGAGTCGGAGCTCATGACGAAGAAAGAATAATAAAGAAAGGCAGAAGTGGGTTACCAAGAAGGTGGGGAGCAAAAACTGTGTGATGGGGGAGCTAGTCTCTCTAGATATTAGAAAAGCAGGTGGAAAGAAAACAACTAAACGGAGGCTGAGAGAGTGTCGGAAAAATGCATGTATAAGACTGTACGGATAAAAAGAGAGACACTGAAACAAGACAGAAAACTCTCATCAGCATGCAGCGAAGCCTTCTAGTTCTCCTCATCTCTGCATCCCTCCCTCCTCTGAATCTTTCTCTCTGTGCTGTCCAGATTATCTTAATGGAAATGACCTCCATTTGAGACAGCTGAGTGGCCCAAACCTGATTAGTTATTTACCTCCCTTCCCTCTCTCTTTCCTTTATCCACTCATCACACACACACACACGAGCAGCACTGTGGCGCCTCAAGTCTTACTTTAACATCTTCCCTCCTCTCCCTTCTCTCTGCCAAGTTATGCCCTGGCCCCCCCACAGTGACGGTAATTTATTGTGTCATTTCATACGAGCCAATGGTCTCCCTGGTTTTACAAACTTGACAAGTGAGGGTAGCCGAGAGATGTGTGCAACCGCGGCAGGCATGGTGATGTGAAAAGTGCTTTTAAAAGCTCTTCATGTCTGTAAAAACACGTGAGCGTTCGCGCGTCTTTACGTTAGGCCTTTCTATAGCTCCTTATCTGTGCGTGTTTGTTGCTCAAGAAGACATCAACACGTGCTGGTGACAGAAACGTGTGATTCCACGATCCGGCAGGAGGGGAGAGAGAGAGAGAAAGAGATGCCCTCCAAGATGAGAGCTCTCAAGCGATATAATGGCTCTCCTTTGGGCTCAAATCAGCGTGCAGAAAACGGTCTGCCCTGGTGTTGCCTGCTGCAGTGCAATGCAGGAAAAAAGCAAGAGAAGATATTTTATATATCAGACTCCAGAGCCCACTCACGCCTCTGCTGTAGGTGTGCCTGTGACGCACACTGAAAAAGTGAGGCTGCATACTATCTGATCTGTGTCTGTCTGTCTGTCATTGTTCTCACTTAGAAATGTGTTTCAAAATTGATTTTTATTTTTTATTTTTTTTTACCAGCAGGGCAACGGACCATCGACCACCACCAAACATAAAAAGACCTCCAGGTATAATAAAGCTGTCTGTATACTGGCACTGTAGTCATGCAGGAATTACAGAGCTGCAAAAGAAAGAGAGGTTTTTGTCGAGCAAAGAACATCCAATTTCTGACGACCTTGTCAATCCCCCTTCCCTTTACACACACACACACACACCACACACAACACACACCACACAACACACACGGAGCAGAAAGAACCCGTCCGACTCCTGACCAAATTTAACAAACCCCCCACACACCCACCACACACACACACACCAGACACCTAAGCCATGGAGGTATAACAGTGTAACAACAAAAGGCATTATAGCATAGTGGCATTCTGCCTATAACTCATCCTAATGACAAACAAGAAAACAACAAAATTAAAACTACTGCTATACAACCTCTTTGATGGTCAAAGATGCTTCTTATGCATCCAATCAAAGGTGACTACACAAACACTACAGCTTCATCTCAGGGAGAAGAGCAATGCTTGTTTTGATCAGAATTAAAGAGATGAAACAATCAAAATAAGAATCACTCTCTATCAGCATTAGTAGGAACATAGGAATTTAATATACAAATGATGAACAGATGCATTTTTACTCTGGCTTAAAATTAATATTAAACCATGAGGGAACCACTGAAGAATGTGTGCTAATAGTGACCATATCTTCACCAGCTATTGGCTCATTGCTTTACATTCTGTATAGCTCCAATTCACATACAAGCCTATTCTATGTTCAGCAGCCAAAACACAGTGTTTACGCCTCGAATGCTTTTGTAGCATGTCTACAGAGCGGCAGGGCCATTTAAAAACAGGTGCTGCAGGTAGAGCTGAGTCCAAGAGAACTGGCTATATGTTTAAGGCAACAGTGACATCTTGTGGACATCTGCAGACATTTCATTCCAAGACCCAGGGATGCAACTTTCTATAGCAATGAAGTGTTGCTTTTATCAAAAACAATGGCAAACTCAAGTCTTAGTGTCCTTCACAGACAGAATACAGTATGTTTTGTATTCAACAACAATGGATTTTTCTATGTACCTCAGTAAAGCGACCAGAATTCAGTCTAAAGTGTCTAAACAATAAAGAGTAGCGATGGGAATTAAACCCCACTATTTTTTTTTAAAGTGACTACTGTAAACTGTCAAGTACCAAAAGCTGATTAATCAGATTTTTAGACTGATTTAAGCTTCTTTAGGCTGCTCGTGTTACACAATTTAACATTTAAAAGGTTTGGCATCTTTTGTTAAATGAAATATGTTTTGTACAAAAACACATTTTCAAGGTATCCAACAGAGGACTGTGTCGATATTGGTAAAGTTAAGTATCGCATTGGCAACAGTAGTGAATATTTTCAGACACTACCCAGCTCAATTTAAGAGTGAATTTAACTGTAGACAGTGCAGATAGCTGCACTTCCAGGTACCACATCTGTATAAAGAGGTTTTTTATAAGCACTTCAGCCACTTCGACCACATTAACTAGAAGAACAGTTCTTTACAAATGTCTGCCTAGGAGGATAAGTAGGCAGTAAGCAATGCTAATGACAGCAATGACAACCGTGACGATGGTATCTGACACTCATGATGACAAGCCATTTTTACCTTTGACACTAGACGGTAGAGAGATGACAGGAAGAGAGGGGAGGGGAGGAGGGCTGACATGCAACAGGAGTCCCGCTGGACTTAAACTGAGGGACCCCTAATTTACCAGGACGCCTCCAAATGGTGCCAGTATGTTAAGAATGATGCTGAATGATAGACTTTGTGTCTCATTTTTTTGTTTATACGGCAGTGTGTGGTGAGAGGATGAAGAGAAGAGGCTCCCAACCAAAATGCAGATGCAAACAGAATAACATTAAAACCACTAACCAAGTATGAGAATAGGGTCTTCCTTCTCGATGTGTTTTTCCAGAATGTGGTGGAATTTGGAGAAGTTGCCCAACCAGTCATAAGACTGCTCTGTTTTATACCTTTCATCCCAGTAGTCGACATCTTTGTACCTGGAGTTGTCATCTGGCACGTACTCCATATTCTCTGTGACATGTAAATGAGACAGAAAACGTCTAAATATTATCCGTCTCAGAAGAAAACCCTTTTAAGTGCACTCATTGTGGCTGTAATTTTACCAGCTCTGACACAGGAACTGTCATACCATGTATGTGGTCTAATTATGCCGTCATTTCAGGCATTCAGAGAAAAATGTTCATAATACGAACTCATCAGAGGTAAGGTAAACTTCTAGTGACCTATCAGGAGTAGAACACTCAGTCAGGCGGGTGTCAAGTACAAAAAAAACACAATGTACTACAACGGAGTGAAGGTGATCTTCATTCATTTACAATGTAAAACCTGGATGGTGCATTATTGTCAAAGCTAAATTACACACCTTTGGATAGTCAGGTTGCCAAGAGGTTTAGAGAAAACTGACCTATCTGTACCGTATATTTTTCAAAATTCCGCATACAGGGTTTTGACTTGATGCTTTGCCAAATTCATAATCCATTCAGTATGGTTTCAGGGACCCCACTGCCATAAAGTGCTGTAAAGCTGCAATGATTAGTCAATTACTCAATCGACATAAAATGAATCAGCGACTATTTGGGTAATCGATTAATCCTTTAAAGTAATTTTTTAAACCAAAATCCCAAATATTCCCTAGTTACAGCTTCTCAAATGTCATGATTATCTGGTTTTCTCTGTTTCATATCAATGTGAATTGAATATCTTTAGGTTTAAGGTTGCAGGTCGGATAAAACAAGTAATGAATGATGATGAAATTGTGATGGCTGGTTTAAAAAAATCAACTAAATAATTAGCTAGCAAATTAGTAGAGCCGGACAATTAAATACAATAAAATAAAATACTATTGAAATCGCAATATGGCCAAATGTTTATCATTCCCACTGATCCTGAATCAGGCAGGCCTACGAATTAGTCAATAATAAAAAATCACTGTTGCACCCTAGATATATTTATATATTGTTTTATACGGATACAGGTTTTAACATTTGTTTTACATAAGCAAACTTTTTTTTCTGGCTCTTCTTCGTCGCTTATTGACATCACTGTGACATCACTGCGTTGGCTCAGTGCTGCCACTAACGGTCGGACGCTGTATTACAACTGTAACCTTAGCTAGCTAGCTTTTCTTCCGACAGCCCTATATTATATTAATATACACACAACCACCCGACATCGTTTTGTCTCCTTATTGATGATCACTGGGAAGTTAACCTCTCCTATAGTTTTACCTTGTAACGTTAACTATGTGGCTATAAAACAACAAGCTAACCTAACGTTAACAGGGGTCCTGCTCATACATATAACGTTAGTTAACGTTACAACAGTTCTTATTAACGTTAACTACATGTCTATGGTCGTAATGCCGTGGTGTTAACGTGAGTGTAGGGGGAGCTGGCACAAGCGTTAAGCGTTGAAACATACCTGTTGTGAATTTTAACACAAAATGCACACAATAAACTGAGTTGTGTTAGGGTTGTGTGGCGCTCTTGAACCTGCCTCACATGCGCATGCGGGGACGAGCCGGACAGTGCCCAGCTGTTGCAGCCAATTATAATTACAGTTCAGTTCAGTTCAGTTAGTTCATTTCAGACTAAAAACACAGAAAAGACTTTGCGTTATTCTTCAATTAGCTACTCACCAATTCCTAGTGGCAGTGTCAGTGGCTGTTATCAGTAAAAACGCCGGTTCGTAACTGTGAGTAAATCCACGTGTTCACAGCATTAAAGCTACAGTGCCCCAAACACACAGTGGGGACTCAACAAACTACAGAAAAGACCTGTCTACAACCTCAGTGTCCTTGTTATTATTAGCTTGAAGAAAGACGTGTGTCCTTGTTGTCTTTCTTGGTCTACAGTGGATGTTTAAGAGAAGGCGGAGCAATATTTTTTAACACTTTCGTACCCTACACGTGCTGCTTTCAAATCCTTCTCAAGCTCCTTAATGCATCCAAACGGCCTTTTAGTGAGACAGTAGCTCTAACAAAATCAGTTTCTGGCTGATTTTCTTCTTAGTTTACCAAAATAAAACCCAGATACACTTCAAAGAATAAGGGAACGCTAATTTATTGTTTTAAATGTTTAGTTAGCATGGTGCACTCCTTTACCACCTTATATTAGGAATGTTTTTTAGTGCTGAAGCATCTTTTGGACTGTTGGACAAATCCAGTTAAAGATCTCACATTGAGCCCTTTTTTGTTCTTTTGTTTGGTTTGATATTTACAATTTAAATAATTAATATAATAATTGATCATAAAATAATATAATAAAAAGGCTATTTTTTTTTTATTTTCAGCCAAATATTTGTTATATTTAAAGAACTACTAGCAGGTCTACAAGTGTGTTTATTTATTTTATTTAAGTTTTAATAGGCTTTTACATTGAATAGTGAAAGTTAAACTCAAACCACATGTAGCAGTCTACTAATGTACTAATCTAGCAGTAACAGCTGCACAATCAGATGTGGGAGAATTTGTTGCCACGCGAAAAAAAATAACTTTGAACATATTACATTGTCTGCTATGTAATATAGTGTGGCTGATTACAGCAGTTTAAGAAGCATTTTGCAGGTGAGTATCCCAGCTGCAAGGATAAGCACCATGATCAGCACAGTCAGACCGTGACGTAACACCAGCTGCCGGACCACCAGGGGCCATGGCCCTTCAGCATCGGCTGCTTTATCACGGCCCGGACAGTGCACCTGCAGGTTACAGTCCTCATGCCTCAGGACGTAAGATGAAATGATGTTGAACTGGGACTCTCTGTGAGCTATAAGGGCATGTTCTAATCAGAGAGAGGTTAGTTGTTCATGACGTGCACAGGGATGTGACTGGAGGGCACACAATGTAAAGGAGAAGTGAAGCAAGCATTTATTTCCCCTTCTTTTGTATTGCCAGCACTTCTTTCTTTTCTGGACTGCTGCTCTTACCACTGGAAATACACATTGCTCATCTACACAGACATGGACTATTCTGAAATTACTGCAGTTACTTTTTAAGTTAGTAATTACAGATCACATTATTTAAGATGTTAGTGTTGTTCAGTGTCATTTCCTACTTGTGACTGTAGAGGGCAGGAAAGACCAGGGAATGTGAGTACAAGGTTACTCAAAGTGGTGGTTCTGCTGGTTTTGGCCTCATAACTACAAATCGTTCTTACTTTCAAAGTACAACTCAGTCAGTAGCTTTTTCACGTAATTCTCAATTGTTTTTTTTAAACACAGGTTCTAAGTTAAAAATTTGATGTGTCCAAGTCCAAGCTGAGACTTTAAAGGCTCCCTACAGAAACTCAGGAGATATTATGCGACTTGATGTAGTTTAGTTCTACTTGAAACTTTTCTGGTAACCCCAGTGGTGTATTGTCCTAATTTAAGATAAAGAACCACAGAAGTGTGCAGAGTAGCAGTTCATTATTCTAATCAAATGTGTACCTTTGACAGTGAGGTTTTTAAACCTAGCTCCAAATTGTTCTTTATGTTGCACTCTTGTAGTAAAACACTGAAATTCTTTATCGTTATCTGTCATTTTTCATCCAGTTATAAGATGCGGCCCCTCACCACAAGACTTTAAAGTTACATGGCAGTGTCAATAGCTCTCCCACGATAACCATTATGGCAGCAAACATCAGGCACAGGCACCCCGCCAAGTTACAGATGGCCACAATCTTTGTTTTCCCTGTTCCTCTTATAATGCCCCCTGTCACACCCTGCACACATCAAATACAGCTTTCATGCAATGGGCCTAGCTTTAACATGATCATTTCTTCAAACTACTTCCTTGGGATCTAAAACCCATCATTGATCCTGCAATCAGCAACCAGCTGAACAAATGATCTAAAAGATGTAAACAAATATTTACATTAGGCAGAAATGCACACTTTGTGCAAAGACAGGGTGGATTTCATGTTTTTTTTTGTGTGCTTTTATAATGTTATATTGTAAGAAATAGCACCTTCTGTAAAGTCTTTGTATTGTATTGTAGGTTTTGAATGCAGGGTGCAGGATTGTGTTGGTGCTTGTACTTGTAAGATCTAAATACTTCTTCCATTTCTGGCTTTTTGGACACAAGTGCATACAAGAAAGATACATATACCCACAGTTTAATTACATTACAAATATGAAGTTTACTGTGCAGGACAGTGATGTTATATTTCCTCCTGCAGATGGTAGTATCACACTACTATTTTTAACGTTTTACTTTCTGGGTAATGTTCAGTAACTGCTGTCAGAAATTCACTGATAACCTATCAGTAGCCATCCTGTTTCATTATCTGTTGATGAAACATCGCCTGCAGCCAGTGTTTCTGGCTCACATTGGCAATCTCACTACAAAACCTGTGTCATCTATCACTGAAAGTTGTGGAAACGAGAGCAGAGCGATCCTGAACCAGGAGAGCTGAACCTACGATTAAGATGATTTATGTGCTGTAAGTTCCCGTTCATCTTCTTCGACGAAGAGTTTTCTTTTTTTTGGTCAAACCCACATAAGTGGTTCTTAAACTGTTGTGCTGCCTTCCTATGAGAGGGTAATCTCAGCTCCTTCTCAGTGAGGAGCTCACAGAGGGAAGTGCCATTATGTCAACTTAATGCATATTCCTCCATTTCACACTGGCTGAACTGTAATCAACAGTAATCCACCATTATGGACAAATAATCGGTTACCTCTGAAGAACCACTTCAGAGTCTCTTCATCCGTTTCTTATACCACTTGAAAGGTAGACTGCACTTGTTTCTAGGCATAATGTTGGATTTGGTGGCTCAGTGTGCTAAGATATGATATGTTAATGGTGTCAGGCTTTGGAGTTTATTCTGTTCTTATTTGTCTGTTTGAATTCGATAAATCCTCCAGAGAGCTTACGCACAGTGTGCCAAGAAGGAGTATCAGCTACCAGCTCTTCAATCTGTATCAACAAAGGACCAATGCAGCCGTTTTTCTGCAAGGACAGAAAAATACAAACTCTGTTGGTTTATAAAGTCCGTCACGTAGGCTAACCTGCAATGGGCAATGGGGGGATGTCACGATGGGCCCTACAAGCCTCAAACCCACACAGAACATTCCCCTACTTCTTAAGATAAATAAACTCTTGAAAATCCACTTGGATTAATTGGAAAATGAAAACAGGGCTCTCATCTCATGACTTTTTAGAGATACGTGGTTCTAACAGGACAGCAATATGACTAACATAAGATCCTATAGACTATGATGTATTGCTGTAGATTAACAGTATGTAAAGTTAAAAACAGCTCAACCATAAACATCTACAGCCAATAAAGTGCAACATACACACGAATGCAGCAGTAACATTAATCCTAAAACATCATATATAGCAGTAAAATACTAACAATTTTACTGCATTAGGCCATTAGTACTTAAGTAAAGGATCTGAAAACTTCTTCCACCACTGGTTATTAACAAGGGCTCTGTTACACAACGCCAGGACCCTGAAGCTGAAGCAGCTAAATGGAATTCAACCATCAGTCATTTTATTGTTTACACCTGTGTTTTCCCTACTGTGGCATGTCAAAATGTTTTTTATGTGGGCCTATAATTGTTGTTCTCCTTCCTCATAACTTACTGTTCATTCTAATATCTGTAGCAGGCTGTAAAAACTCATTGTACCAGCTTTGCTTTAAACCCGATGACCTCCGTGGAAATGAAGCAGGTTGATGCAACACATGGCAAAGAGGAAACCTGAAATGCTCCACACATTCTCCAGCTGAGGGGTTGAATCTATCCAACCAACCTCCTCTACTGTATACTGTATGCGCTGCATCATAATTATGTAACCCTCAGTATAGGGGCAACAGTTAAGTAGCCACAATATCAGTGATGGCAAGTGGAGAAGCCATCAAACATCTCCGGGTGACGCTTTGAATCGCACATGTGTCTGGGTGCAGAGGAGGAGAGTGAACATCGTTTTTCCTTTTGCTTTTGAGACCGATGCGGACACTCGGGATCCGTTTGGAGATGCGGAGAATAATTTGCCACAGATTCCTCTGCATAGTGGAGGAACTATCACAGACCACGTGAGAGGAATATTTAATGACGGTCCCCCGACAGCCCGGTTCATCTCTTGCTGGCTCTCCTCTGCTGCTGACATGGACTCTTGGACACTGTATTTTCTCAGCTTCCCACAAACGGACGCGGAGGGAGGGCGAGACTCAGTCTGAATGTAACCTTTGATCTTCTTGCTCTTCTTTTTCTGTTTGATTTTTTTTCTTTTCTTCTTCTTTTTCTTCTTCTCTCCTCCACAAGTCAAACAGTTTTTGGTTTCTTCGGGGTTGGGGGGTGGTATGGCTTGGCCGTGCATCAGCAGAGTGTGCTGCCTGGCTCGCTTCTGGAACCAGTTCGACAAATCGGACCTCTCCGTCCCGCTCACCATCCAGAACTACTCGGACATTGCCGAGCAGGAGGTGCGGTCCGTCACCAAACAGGTCTCCGCCTCGGAGCGCGCACCCGGGAATAACTACTCGACCCCCGACCCGCGTGCCGCCGGCTCCCCTTCGATACCCGCAGACGGCCAGGGGACCCGAGGATCTTTCAGGGCACGGAAGGAGCCCAGTTACAAGCCCCGGGAGGACTACCACCCGCCCGGAGTGCCTTTCCCCAGCGTTACTCAGTACAAGCAGGATTTCAAACCCTGGCCCATTCCCAGGAAGGAGAATTTCCCTTGGATTAGTAATGGGGGCAGCAGGGCGGACAGTGTGTCGGACAGCCCGGTGAACACTTACCACGGCCAGGCTCAGCCCGGGGAGAGAGAGGAGCGGGGAAGGGGGCACAGGTGGGGGGAGCAGGAGGGGATGGAGGAGAGAAAAACCAGCTCCTACAGGTAGGACATCTTCTTTCAGCCGTTTCAGCACCTGTCGCTGTCCACTCCGTCTCACCATTGGACCAGCTGGGATGAACTGCTTGATTCCTGCTTTGATGCTTCATTAGATGCGTGTCATTAAGAGATGATTAACCTCCAGGGTCAACAGCCTGCATGGAGATAGGGATCATCATTAATTCTCTCATGTTCATATATGGGAGAATATTGGATTTTATGTGGGCAGGGAGTATAGTTAGTCAACCTCTTTGGCTTGTGAGTCTGCACAGAGAAGAAATGTTGAGTGATGTTCCTTTCTCAGATTGATGGATTTGAATAGATTTTAGAGGCCTGAACAAGTTAAAACAGAGAAAAAGAAGAAAGAAATACAATTTGTGCATTGGAAATATTTGTCTTGACCCTTTGGGTGATGAGTTATTAAAATAATCTAAAAGTAAATAAAGGGAAATTCTGGTCATTTAGTATTGCATATTCATAAAGTTGCAAGAGAGGAAAAAAGGGTCAAAATCAATGCATAATGGGTATCACATCATCAGGGTTATTTTCTCAGACTTTAGGAAGACATTTTTACAGGGTGAATGCCCCTTTAAGTATTTATTTTTTTCTGATGCTATAGGCATAGATGTAGTCAACGTCATTGTTAAAGCTATGTTAATCAGTGCTGGGTCCACACTGCAGCCACGGCACATCAAAAACAAGCCTGATCCAAACTTTCAGCCGGTACTGAACGTATTCCACTGTGTCTGTCAGCCTACTGATGCATTTGTCTTTTGTCCAGGCAAGAGTACAGGCCGTGGACGGGGGCGAGACCGGCCAAAAGTGCTAGGAGAAACCCTCCAGCTCAATACTCCAGCCCAGGGACAGAGGCCACCCACGTCCCACGTGAGACCAGCTACCAGGCTGCCTATAATGGGGAGGGCCAAAGATCTATAGGGCTGCATCAGGGAGAGCACATCATCCCGACTGCCAGCACCAATATACAACCTGCTGCTGTACCCCAACCAACACCCACTGCCCTGCCGGGCGGCAGTTCACAGAGCCCCTCCGGCCCCCAGCAGAGCATCCTGCCCGAGAGGGCCGAGTTCAGTGGAATGACCAAGGGAGAGGTAAGCACAGGTGGCAATGTTGTTCACCAGTGTCCGGCATTCAGCTGGAGGAGCCATGTAATGTACATTACTGAACCAGCTGCAGGTTCAAAGAGTTCATTGGAAGAGCTACAGGTTTAAATTGCAGCATGCTCCCCCTGAAAGTCAACTTCACTCATCTCCCTGGTGGCATGTTGCTGTTGGAGCGTCTCAGGAAAGTGATACAGCATTCTGTCCCTAAGCAGCTCAAAGTGACCCAGCTGTTTAAAGCAGGCCATGTACTGTGTTAGGTAACACTCTGCTGGTGCTACACTCATTACTTTGACCTGAATAGAGCTGGTGCTTGATGAGAACGAAAAAGTAAATGGGTAATTTTTCCAACTGTGGTCCATTTTGGGCCGAAAATAAAACAAACCTGTGGACAAATATATTGATGTCTTTCTAAGAATAATTTCTTATCATGGCTACACTGAAATACTTCAAATACGTCATTAGAAAATTAAAATTTAATCATCCTTACTTAAAACAGTAATTTGGAATGTATTTGGAGTCTAAATTATGAGTCAAAGGTTTTTTCTGGCCCAGAGACAATACAGAAATAATCTTTAAAATATAATTAAATTTACATTGTTAAAGACATCAAAGGCACAATGGCAACAATTACCCAAATTTCCACACAATTGTACATCTTGTCCCAGATTTCTGCTGCTCTTAGACATGATGAGACAGAAAGATGGGCACACAAAGGACCAGATTTACAGTCTGATTGAAACAGAACTAACTGCAACGAGGAGAGAGGATTTACTCAGGAAGCTGCAAACACATCGGTTCACTCAGGTTGTTCCAGATTATCGTAGGATAAACTGGGTGAAGGGACATATGCACCCTTTCCCCTCCCCTGCGTTCTGTTGCTCAGGTCAGCTGTTGCATGACAGTAAGTGAGACAATTTTTTGGGAATCTCCAGAGGTTTAGTGCCATCCCTCTTCCCCGCCCACACCCCCTCAGTGCCATCTGCCAGTGGAGAGCTGGGGTCTGTCTGGGCCGGGTCAGCCTGGTTTGTCTGCTGTCCCAATAAATCTCACACTGAATGGTCTCTGCGAAGGTTAGAAAATTTACTTTTGTGTTTGCAGGGCTGTAGCTACCACTGAGGAAACTGAGGTCCTGGGGGAAGTTTATATTCCACTTTAGTGGTGGATTCCAGTATTTTTTAGACTTTCAATTTAACTTATTTTTGGTTAATAAATAAATAAAGGATTCATTATTTTCTAGAATTTTATTTTTGGCAATGTACACACTCGATAGCTAGTTAAATTCTCCCACTTTTCCAGCTAATTAAAGCCCACTGCATCTGAAAAATGCATTGTCCCAAGGCTTAAAACATAGCTGTGACTCTTGTGAGAAGCTTGTGAGATGCTGAAATTTTGAAAATACATGGTTTTTAGAGGACACAGATGTTGGGAAATACAATCTGCAGAGGATACAACAGAAATTAACAAAATAAATAAAATCTTAAAATTAAAATAATAAAAAAAGGGACTTTCATTTTGGTGTTATGTCAAGTTTTTCAAGGTGTGGTGGAGGCTTGTGTGTCTTTGCCCTCAGTCGTGCAACTACAGAGGTTTAACAAAAAGTGAATAATGCATGAGTGGAAAAAAAGAACCTGATTATTTGCATAATTTTCGGAATAATGACGGCTCTATTAAGCCATGATGTCCCTGAGTATCCTGTGTGATGGAGATGGAGGTCGAAGTGAGAGATGTCAATGGCAGGACGCGGACTCTATTAATAACACTGGCCCAGTTGGAGTGAGAGTTCACGGCACATTAAGGGATGTGCTGCTGGCAGTATGTTCGGCTGTAGGACTGAACACTGCAGTCGATATTATACACACACACACACACACACACAAGCACATGCATACTCGCACATATGCATGTTTGCAGTGCAGTTTTTCGGTTATACCACAATCTGCCCGTGTGACACAAACCAGCCTGGCAGCAAATCAAGTTGATCTTAGATAATCCACCCCGGTCACCCCCGGCCCACTCACTGCCAACTCATTATTGACTCACCAGCCCCCTGCAGAGGTGTCTGACCAAGCATTACACATCCCACTCCAGTATGCATTATAGTGGGTCATGGCACTCTGCTTGTATTTGTCTGTGAGGGCAATCTCAGTTGTGATGCCATTGTAAAATACGCGACTGCACCAGCAGATGAAGTGCCCTTGTTCAATGTGGAGCAGAACAGGCCGACTGTATCTATTCATTAAAAGATTTAATGGTTAAGTCCCAAATAAGCTGCTGAAATCAAAATCAATCTGCTCTTGATGATAAAGGAGTTGGGCAGCCATGAAATTCTCATTACGGCTCAAATCAATCTGTCAAATTGTCTGCTCCCCCACCTATAATACATTAAATCCATCTCAACAGATGAAAGATGTCACTAATTTGATGACACGCAGCAGACAATTGACTGATTAGAACAACTGATGCTTTTCATGATGAGTGAGACTCGCTGAACTTGCAAACCTAAATTAAAACGTCCCAGCAAGCTGTCAGATGAAAGAGGGAGAATGATGTTAAACCTGAAACCCGGCTTGTCCTCCTTGTCCGGCTTAAATGAGTGCAGCCCTGAACTCTCAGCACAGTGTGTGTGTGTGTG